TACATAACCAACGGGGAGCGAAAAGTTTGCTATAAAGTCCACTATATTTTCCCCCTCTATTTAGTGATCGAGAGCTGAAACCAGACACTGTCGTTGTCTAACATTAAAGTAAAAGCAAAGCTGACATGGTCAACATGTCTTAAATTAGGGTGACCATATTTTCATTTGGGAAAACCAGGACACCTCGGAGCGGGGGGCGATCTCTGTTCCCATGCATAGAGATATCTGTGGCATGCACTCACTTAACATAGGCCCATGTAATCCTACAATAACATAATAATTACAGTTGATTTATTAAAAATGCTTTTCAGTAAAAGTCAACAGCAATAACAATAAAAGTTAACAATAACGCTCAACTCCCAATAACACATGATACTCAGCCTCAGTAATGAACGAAATAATGTCTGTTCTGTAGGTTAATGGAAAAAAAAAAATTAGCAAATGAGTTAATTAACAAAAAATACCTCTTGTGCAGCAAAAATAACTCAAAATGTACCAAAAACGAACACACATATCAATAGACTATCTTTACTTTCGGAGTCCAGGAGGCTTTTCAGATCCCTTGCACCTCCATTGGACACCGAGACATATGTGCCTGCTTTGCACACTGTGCACAAGGCCTCCCATTTGTCTCGACCCGGTCTGAAAGCGGGGAAACTCTTTTGTAAATCGTTGGTAAACATACATTTGCGCTTTGGCATGTTGTTGGCGTACCAACAGCCACGCTATCTATCTTCTTATTAAGGACAGGGCTGCCCGCACTGACGCAGCTGAGGGATTACGTCACACGCAGCGCCGTGCACAGTGCCCTAGTGCCTGTAAATTTAATGGTCCAATGAAGGTAGTTTAAAAAAACAGGACATTTCCTCACTTCCTAAAAAAAAAACCGGGACCCCCGGGACAGGATGTGAAATATGAATATGTCCTGGGAAATATGGACGTTTGGTCTCGCTACTTAAATAAAACTCTAAAAAAGGCAAGAGAGGCAACAGAGAGGGAATCTTCACACAGTTCATGACATCTCTCTCCACCACTGGTTAGCACAGTTTTTACTTACATTTCCTCGAGCTTGTCCCTTCTTAACTTGAATCCTTCCCTCTCTTGGAGAGTCGGCGTCAGTAGTAAGTCCAGGTCGCTGTGGCTGTGAACCCCTGCTAACCACTCGGATGTTTGCCCTCCTGCTCATCCTAGATGATGCATCATCCTCTACTCGCATTTGCATGATTCCATGATACTACATGGAATCATACATCAAATCAGCAAAGAAACGAGATTGTTCTTCAGCCTTCGTTGATGTTAAGCTAGAAATTAGTGTTGTGGATACTTACTGTGTAAACTACATCTGTCCCATTGTGGAACACTGTTGAAGGGGAAATCTGAAAAATAAACACAAACCTGTTTATACCACACACTGGTGATACAGAGGAACAAGGGATAGGGTGGAGGATAAACTAAAATGGCGGAAGGGCTTACAGATTTGGGATTGCTGACAACTCTGAGTTTCTTCCTCGGGAGATCTTCTCCTTGGGTAGAGATGCTGTCTCCTCTGGCCCATATAACCGATTCTTTACCGAGGGGAAGTTTCTCCAAACGGATGGACCCATGCTGGGGATACGCGTCGGGTTGAATCTCTTTTCCTCCCAGAAGAGGAGCTTGTTGGTCCTGCTTTGGTCTGCACTCTCCTGAGTTCATCAATTTCAAATAGGTTAGTCCAATTTTAGTTTTTTATATGAAGAAACACGTTGATTAAAATGCACTAAGAATCTTTTACCTTTTCCCTGGTCTCTGATTGTAAGTTTAGCCTTGCTGATGCTACCAATGACCGTAGCCTCAGGAGAAACAAGCAGCACCTCGAAATGTTCATCTGCCTCCTCAATGTGGTCCTCAACGATCTCAGTCTGCCAAGTCCGCTTTGTTACTCCTACAGTGAGAGTAAACTTTAAATTGTTTGTAAATTAAAACCACAAAGGCCATTAAA